AGTTGATTTCTTGGGGTAGAGGGTATGCGTGTGTTCTACTACCATCTGGTCCAAGATGGTACCCAGGAAAAAACACAAAACCATACCTAGGCACTGCAAACGCTACTCCCACTGTCACTGTGCCTTCCCAAGTCTCGCTAGCACTAGTGGCAGGCGAGAATTCTACCGCTGAGCCACCAGGGCTGTTGCTAGGTTACTAAGTCTCGTCTAAGTCAGAACCTGTAGCACTGTGCCAGCAAAGGCCACTCTCATGTGCCGCTGTGGGCACGAGGTATGGCCTGTGGGAAGTCAAAGCCACCAGACTGAAAGACACGCAGAGCAACTCTGACAAAAGCAAGGAGCCATCCTTCTGGTGGTATCAGAGTTCCGAGTTTATTGGCTCGAAGAAGATAAGCTCCAAAAGGCGATGGGCACCGAGTGACCTGCTTCTTAAAGGGGGGTGGTAACAAGGGGAGGAAACAGCAGCCAACCAATGGGATAACACCTGGGGGTGGTAACAGGAGTGACACACAGGGGAAACTTCCAATGAGGTAGGAGGGAGGGAGGGAGGGAACCCCGGAGACCAGCCTATCACTCAAAGCCCTGGATGGAACTTTCTAGGTGGAAGGGAGAGGTCTCTGAGAGACAGGCAGGCTCTGGGGTGTGGCTGGGGGGAATAACTCAGCAGGAATACAATGAACTGGGTGGAGGGAGGAATGACAGGCAGACGGAGGAGGGAGGAGGAGGAAGGCTGGACCATTTTAAAAAAAGAGGGGGACAGGGAGTAACCATAACTGGGGGGAAACAAAACACACTCCAACATCCCACAAACAGTGACAAGCATTCCCCTGAGTCAAATACAAGACCTCCTCAAAACCAGACCAGTTCTGCCTGGAGACGAAGGTGTCACTGAATGTCTGCATACCGAAGAAAAGACCATCCCATTACGCGACAGCAGACAAAACAGAAAGCTGAACAACCTTCTGCTGCATCAGTCAAGCCATAGGCCAGACACAGCCTGAAAACAAATTGTTCTCTGACTTACACGTTATTACCCCTTTTACCCTCAAAAACCATATTATTCCCCGTTCTCAACTCTTACCGAAACCCCTTAACCTTATACTCACTCCCCTATCCCTAGCTTATAGAAAAAAAAAAAAGAAAAGAAAGGGGGTGGGGGGAAGAAAGGAGGAAAGGAACAAGGGAGAAAACCCTAACCCTCCCCTCCCATCATAAAGATAACAAATTTTGCTTATATTCCCTATCAGAAGCCCCATCCTTGTCCAAAGATGAAAATTATGTCTGTTGGTGCTGTCCTCACTGCTGCCTGGATGCTCCTCACCCTACCGTATGCCTTCGGCTGGATTAGCCCACAGCCTAGCCACAGTGTCTGGGTAACCTTAGCAAAGACATTAAATCAGGATAACATGTGCTTATCCATGGGAAGCCTTGATAACCCACTTTCCACATGTTTGGTAGGGATTCCATTCGTAGCAGATGACTGGCCCATCTATAATTCAGAGCTCCTCCGCACCACATTTAAGAGACCCAACCTGGTAGATACTTGGGACGAGTGGACAAAAATGTTGCCCAATGCTATAGAGGAACCCCAAGAACTGGACCTGCTGGGGTCCTCCAAAGTAACATACTGCATCAAATTTTACTTTAGATGTCAAAGAATAATTGGCCAGAAATTGACCAGACAAAAAACACATACAGAGAAGACATATCACCCATTAACAAAGCCTATAACTATACAGACTGGTGTAATTACATCTCTCACATGATCTCTGTATCCTTTCTCCACCCCAAAGTATTCCCCAAAGGAACGTTTCTTATCTGTGGTGACCGAGAATGGGCTGGGATCCCCTCACATCTCCATGGAGGTCCCTGTAGCCTTGGAAAACTTTCTACCCTCACTCCAAAATATCACCTTGTTCCATAGATGGAAAAGAAGAAGCGAATTAAAACGCCACAAAAGATCCTACACAGAATTTGATGAAAATTGCGATCCCAAATTATATGACGGGAACAAACCAAAAAAGATTGTGGTCTCCCTATTCCTACCATGGGTAGCTGCAGCTAAAGCCCTTGGTGAAATAAATCACCTAGGGTGCTGGCTCAGTAAGCAAGCCAACACTACCTCTGCTGCCCTGAGCGATCTTTTAAAGGAAGAAGAAACCACAAGACATGCATCACTTCAAAATCGAGTGGCCATTGCATCCTACTGCTTGCCCAAGGACATGGCTGCTAAGGCCTCAAAGGGATGTGCTGCGTCAATCTCTCTCCATGCTCGGAATCCATTCACACAAACATCCAAAAACTGAAGGAACTTGTGAAGGACTTAAAAGTAGAAAACAACCCAGACTGGGTCAATGACCTTTTTGGTCAATGGGGATTAAGAGTGTTGGGAAGTGTAGATAAATATGATTAAGAACCACAATAGTACAGCCAGGACAAATATAACGCCCCCTACTGGCTGGACAATACCCTCTCTTACAGAGGGGTCCAAAAGTCAAATGGACTGTTCCATCTCACCCCCCAGAATGTATGGTTCACCCCACACCTGTAACCTTCCCCTGAAACATCAAGTGTCTGTGACCCCATTGGCCCAAGTCCTGTTCCAGCTCACCTTGGAGCCCACCTTGATAAGGGGTCTCTGGGGGGCCGGACGCCCTCTTGGATCTTCCCCTCTCCTCCTGGAACTTCCTCCGGGAGTCCCTGCTCCCCCCTTTGTCTCTCCCCTCCCCCATCACCACTGGCCCAGCCACGTGCTGCTACACAGCACGAGGCAGGGCCTTTCTGTAACTGAATAAACCTCATCCCCCAAGAGCAACCAACAGAGATCTCCCTTATATTCACCCCAAATCCATCCGTGGAACACCCCAATCAAACGTCTTTACAAACAGGATGGGTTGCATCTTTGGTTAAGGGAATTTTGTGTATTTTCATTGTAATTTTCATTGTATTAGCTATGTTCTCATGCGTTTTCCATTGCTTTAAAAGAACTATTGGGAAGGCCAATTTACTAAATATAGAAAGTTGAGTTGAAGCAGCCACAGGGCCTGCAAGGCCTCCCTGGCAGTCACTTGCCTAAGATAAGAAATGCCTAGTCATGATGACTGAACCAAAGTAGCCCCTCTTCCACCTTCGGACCCTCGTTATCTCTCTGTAAGACCATAGGTCATGTAAAGACGTTTGAGGTCTCCGTGGATGGTTTGGGTGGATACAGACGAGAGATCTCTGCTGAATGCTCTTGGAGGATAAGGTTTATTTGGGATGCAGAGAGGCCCTGCCTCGAGCTGCTAGAAACAGCACGTGGCCGGGCCTGAGGTGATGGGGGAGGGGAGAGACAAAGGGAAGAGCAGGGAACCCAGGAGGAGGGAGGAAGTTCCAAGAGGGGAGGGGAAGATCCAAGAGGGCGTCTGGCCCTTCGGGGGCCCCTTATCAATGGGGGCTCCAAGGTGGGCTGGAACAGGACTTGGGCCAATGGGGTCACAGACACTTGATGTTTCAGGGGAGGGTTACAGGTGTGGGTTGAACCATACATTCTGGGGGGTGAGATGGAACAGTCCAATTGACTTTTGGACCCCTCTGTAAGGGAGGGTATTGTCCAGCCAGTAGGGGGCGTTATATTTGTCCCGGCTGTACTATTGTGGTTCTTAATCATATTTATCTACCCTTCCCAACATCTCCCCTGTTTTCACTGAACCATTTGAAATACTAAATATTGACTTAACAACTATTTTCTGCACACTTGGAGGTGTACAGGGTACTGCTACTAAAACTATACTTATTACTACTGGAACAGTCAAGCTTATTTTACAGAGTTCCTTTAGCCAAGGTGCAAGGCTCAAACCATTAAATAAACTGTGTAGCTGAGATGGGCTAATTGTTATTAAATCACTGATTATAGTAGGGGAGGCATTGTCGGAATTTTTTGGAAAAGGTCTTATAATTAAACGGGTTGAAAAAGGTTTGTTAGGTTTTGTGTTAGATATATAGGTGGTCTTAGAGCTTGCAGGCTTGGCTAAAGCTACCCAGGCATTTGTCTTTGTTTGAATTACAAGTAAAACTTCAATACAAAAACTGAAACAGAGGAACAAAAGCAATATGCACGCATATAAATGATAAAAAGTCCATTTTTCTCTCGAGCTGTTTCTGGCAGGTCATTTTCTCTTGATGACGCAGTGTAGTTCAGGTCTGGGTGCTGGCTTCTTGGCTTGTACTTGCAGAAGTACTGTCTGGTGTGGGGGTGCCACCAGATTTCGATGCATGGTAGGGTTTCACATTCTTTCCTGGGACCCACTTGAGTCCTTGACCTGTGGAAACACAAGCAAAATCTTTCCCTCATGTTAGAAGACTGTGTGGACCTCGTATTTGTCCTGAATCTAAGATTTTGAGTAAAGATGGGGGGTGCCCCTTTATTTTTACTGTTTTGGTGTTCAGGAAATGTCTATAAATGGGGGGTCGAGGCTCTCCTGCAGAGCTACTTAGAAAATTGTGAGCATATAGAGCCTTATTCAACCTCTTTTGAGGTGCAGCCTGATCTACTCCCCCTTTCTTTCGATTTAAGATGCGTTTTAAGGTTTGGCATGTATTTTCTATGGTACCTTTTAACAGTGGTTTAAAATAGGAAAAGAAGATACCACTTTCCTTGACTACTGTTAGGACTTCTTTCACCTCCTGAGATGGGACAGCTGTTTGCTGGCTGAATACCACTGGCATGGCTTGGGGATGCAGGTTGTCCTCTTTGCGGCTATCATATTTGATTTCAAGGCAGTTTGTCAGTTGAAGATTGTTAGCACTTTGCTGAGAATTTGGTGAGATTGGGATAGAAAGGTTAGGGTTTGCAGAGGTAAAATAGTTCTCTGTCTGTCCTTTATTTATCAAAGCTGCTGTCACATTGTTTCCTTCTCCCTCTCGCTGCATGGTGTCTGTGACAAGCTGCAGTGGTGTGCTGCTCATGCGGGAGGCAGGAGCTGCCGTCAGCTGAGGCAGAAGAGCGGGAGGGGTGGAGCTCGTCGGCAGCAGCACTTGTGAAGAGCCGGCGTGAGCGGGAGGATACTCTGTAGCTGTGGCTTTAGGTGCTACGGCAGGATGTAGATCCGGCAGAGGGAGGAATGCAGAGGGATATGGTGATAGGGTCGGCAAACCAGGAAGTGGTGGAGGCGGCGGGGGGGTTCGGGGCTCTGCAGCCAGAGGCATTGGTTGCGGCACCGCGGGGGGGTGGGGGGGTGGGGACGCTGGGTTTGCAGCCGCCGGGGGGCCGGCTGCGGGTCCGGGGGTGGGGGCGGAAGGGGCACGGTGCTGGGTCCCGGGGCATCTCCGGAAGGCATGGGGGGTGCCAGGTTCACGGCCGCGGGGGCGGGTTTCGGGCGGCTCGGGGGGGGAGGCATGGCCGCGGCAGGGAGGGGTTCTGGGCGGCTCGGGAATGAAGAGGTGGAAGCAAGGGCGGGGTCTGGGCTGCGCGGGGCAAAGGGCGTGGCCGCGGCAGTGGGGGCCGCCCTCCCCGGAGCCGCGGTATGGCCGGCGTGGTCGCCGGGGCGGGGGGTTTCCAGGCGGCTTGGCGGGGACTGCTGGGCCGCAGCAGGGAGAGGTTTGGCTGTTATCAATGGCTTTTGAAAAGCGCAGAGCTCTGCTAACGCCATGTACGCAGGAAGTAGTTCGCAACCGTAGGGATCGCGCCGTGAAATATCATTAAAAAGTCTATGCCCCACCTTGGGCGCCAGTCTGTAAAGACGTTTGATTGGGGTGTTTCACGGATGGATTTGGGGTGAATATAAGCGAGATCTCTGTTGGTTGCTCTTGGGGCATGAGGTTTATTCAGGATGCAGAAAGGCCCTGCCTCGTGCTGTGTAGCAGCACGTGGCTGGGCCAGTGGTGATGGGGGAGGGGAGAGACAAAGGGGGGAGCAGGGACTCCCGGAGGAAGTTCCAGGAGGAGAGGGGAAGATCCAAGAGGGTGTCCGGCCCCCCGGAGACCCCTTATCAAGGGGGGCTTCGAGGTGGGCTGGAAGAGGACTTGGGCCAATGGGGTCACAGACACTTGATGTTTCAGGGGAGGGTTACAGGTGTGGGGTGAACCATACATTCTGGGGGGTGAGATGGAACAGTCCATTTGACTTTTGGACCCCTCTGTAAGTGAGGGTATTGTCCAGCCAGTAGGGGGCGTTATATTTGTCCTGGCTGTACTATTGTGGTTCTTAATCATATTTATCTACCCTTCCCAACAGGGGCCCTTACCACAAATGGGCAGATGGTTGCCAGCTTGCCTTCAGGGTCTTCAACAAGGATGTTGTGCTTGCTTCACATAGTCATTGTGGCTACATCGATCCCTGAAATCATGCCTGCTACCTGTTGTAGTTCCCAGTTTGCTAGCTATTCTGAGCGGGCAATGATGGTCACGTATGAACCAGTGTCCAGCATCCTTGGTCAGTAGATCTTCTCTCCTTTGCAGGATGGACCACACTCGATGGTAGGCTTACTTGGACCCACAACTTGTGCCCACATTGCTGTAGGGTTGAGAGGAAGTCTTTCCCTGTGATTCTTTGGGAGTAAAAAGGCTTGTACAATCGGGGTTCCCTATGAAACAGCACAGCTGGACAAAGATTTCTTGTCCTGGGTGCACTGTTTGTTCTTCTAGAAGAACAAAGATTTCTTCTGGACCATGCAAAGTGTCACCTATAATTAAAATGTCAAAAGGACCACCTTTTGGCCTATGCTTTCCTGTGGGAGTACGCTAAACATCCTCATTATTAAAATCAATGGACAGAGTAGTTTCCGGTTGGCGCCAGGTTCCCATCTTTATGGCTCCGTGTGTTGGATCCTCTTCATGTGACATGGAATCTCCTGAGATGATGTGTGGTTAGATCTGAATGGCTTTTGATTTGTCTTTGTGCAGGGCCTGGCTGCGCTCCGCTGGAAGTTTCCCAAGCACTGCTGGTAGCACTGCTGGTAGAACTGCTGGTAGCACTGCTGGTAGCACTGCTGACTCTGGGGTTTTTGGTGGGTGTTGTAGGAGTTTCGGATAGGTGACCTAACTGGGCAGTCCTTTATAAAATGTCCAAAGTCTCCACAGTGATAGCAGCGGGCCTGGTCTTTGGAAGTCACTACTGCAAATGCACCAGAAACTCCTGCAATACCCTTAGCAACTGCTTGGGCCACTGTGTTTTCAGTGGACAAATGACATGTACAGCTTTCCACCATTTGCTCTATGGTAGGTTCTGTATCCAAGGGTAGGGCCCTCAGAATTTTTTTACATTGTTCATTAGCATTCCTCATAGCAAGTTTACACAAAAGCTCCTTTCTTGCCTCTATGCTCTCTATCTGTTTTTCCAGAGCATCCTTAATTCTGTCCACAAACTCGAGAAAGCTTTCATCTAGTTCTTGTTTAATATTAGAGAAGCGTTGGGTAGGAATAGAGTCATCTGGGGTAAGAAGTAAGGAGGTTTTTGCTTTAATAGCCAAGTCCTGTAGTGCCACCTCAGACAAGGTGTTAGCTTGGTCAGAGGGCTTCTGATAATCCCCTTCTCTAGCCAGCTGTTCGACTGTAAAATTTGGCCTATTTGCATCTTGAGAATAGGTGTCTGATAATGTTTTTAATTGTCTTTTCCAATGCCTTTCCCACAGCATATATTCTGCCAGGGAAAGAAGACAGTGGGCAATATTTTTAACATAGTGAGGCACTAAAACATGTGCCAAGAAGATAGCTTCTAGGAAATTTTTAAAAATATGTGAACTTCTACCATGTTCTTTTGCCACTTTACGGAGTTGTATGAGCTCTTTGTGTTAGGTTCCCATGTTGTTTTAGTGGAGGCATCTTCTCTTCTTCCCTTTATATAAATTACTGAGAAGGCAGAAATTTTCTGAGCCAGTTCCCAATCCCCTTTGTTCACAAGGCATGCTTTTCGTGGCTTAGTGCCCGAGAGCATCCAGACGTCCGTAATTCTTTGTTTAAAACAAAGAATTGTCCTTTATGGTCCTAACTCTGATTGTCTAAATCCTTATTGCTCTAATTTTTATTACTGTTTTTATACTATTAAACTTTTAAAAAATTTAAAACAAGTGATTGGCATTTTTCACAATTATGGTAGCAGAGGATGGTTTCTAACACCTCTCTGCCAGTGCCTTAGGAGAATCAGGGTGAGGAAGACGCATCCTGCCCTGTTATGCAGCCTTGCTCTGTTCCTTTAGTGTGGCTGACAGATGCAGGTTACCATCAATGGCCAAAAGGAGGCAATAAAACAAAGGGAATGAATTCCCTAAAACCGCAGTAATTAGCCCCTGAGACTAAAGTGTATGTGAAGAACAAAGACCCAAGGACAAAGAGAGGCGGGCTGGTTATCCCAGACCTGCCAAGTGATTGCGGTAGTCTCTCATGCTGCGTTTCAGTCTTTTTTGCGAGAAAAGCAGCCAGTAAAGAGACGAAGCTAGTGATAAAAAAGAGTGAGAGAATCCCCCCCTGGGGAAACTGGGACTGGGTCTTAGGGAAGGAGTGGAACCCCTTGGAGAGAAGAAGCCAAGAGTTTTTCTGGCATAATCCACTAGGGAAAATAGAAGAAATAGTGTGAAAGGGGCCCCTAAAAATTATGCTGGATTGAGGGATAAGAGTGCCCAAGAACATCCAGGATTCAAACCTGCTGGGTTGAGGGATTAACGTTCCAAGAGCATCCAGGGTTGAGCAAAATTCTGCCGGATTGAGGATATGCCCAAGAGCATCCAGGGTTGGACAACACAGCTGGATTGAGGGATAAAAATGCCCAAGAGCATCTGGGGTTGGACAACATAGCTGGATTGAGGGATATCCAAGAGCACCAGGACGGGTCAGTAACACCTAAAAGTGTAATCGGTTAATTGAAAGTAAAAGGCACCTTGTTGTCTTATTGTGTGTGTGAAGGTGGGTCCTGCACCAACAAGCCGTTTCCCCTGCGGCTGGGGACTGAGGCAAAACCCGCAAAACAAGCCTTGTCCCGGGTGTGAGGGGGAAGTTGTGACTACTAAGTGTGAGTCACATGCAGACAGCCTCAAAGGTGAACTGGCACAAGAGGCAACCGAATTAAGGGCACTTCCCGGAGGCCTGGTGGTACTGAAGTCCAGAGAGGCTGACCCCAAAGCAAGGGTAGTTGTGTAACCCGTTCCCTGGGGGGGGGGGTGTGGTAGGTAAGGGACAGGCGAACGGAAGATTTCGGGGTGTGACGGAAAGATAGACCCATCCCCCTCTCTCTCTCTCTCTCTCTCTTCCCCACTTATCTATTAACTCCAGAAGCCTCAGAGGAATGCAGCCACACCGGCCCTAGTAAATTTCCACTACCCACTAACCCCTGAGACCCCCAACCCCCCTCTGACGTAGCAAAGACCCCTAAAAGCTATTTAAACCCACGAGATAGGATAATAAACGCTTTTCAACCGTCTGCCATATTGGTGTCTGCGTCTGTTGATTAGCCCGAGCAGTCCGGCCGAGACCAGGCTGCCATGCTGCCATCTGAACCAGGTCCCTGGTTGTCTTTTATAAAGGCAACGGGGGGGGGGGGGAGGGGGGGGAAGTCCAGATTGGTCAAGGTGCGGAGGTCTGAACCCCTGACTCTGAGGCTATCTCTAAGGAAGAGGGATAGCCAAACCTCGGGGAGGTGGAAGCGGTCAGGGTGGGGGCTTACACGATCCATGATTCTCTGGCACCAGAAATCCTTTCGTGTAAATCTAAGAGATTTGCTAATGTTTCCTTCCTCTGTGCAATAAAATAAAGGGAAATGTATGAAGTGCTGAACCTGATGAACCTAAGTCAATGGGAAACTTAGGGGTGCCAGTACTTAAGGTTCTGGGGGGTAAAAAGTGTTGCAGCATTTTTGAGAGAAAGAGGGCATGAATTGTGAAAGTTGAGCTACTCCAGTCTAGGCCTCAGATTGAGGCCTGGTGGGGCCTTCAAAGCCTCTGACGCAGTTAGAAATTCAGAGCTTGGGGCGCAGATAGAAAATAGTCTTAAGGTATTGTGGGGACCACTGGGTGTGAGTTAGTATAGGTTTTATGGTGTAAAGTGTAGGCCGTTTTAAGGAAAAGGTAAACAATGTTAGCCTACCAATTAGAGTGTCTTTGTTTCTGTAAACTATGTGGAAGCTTATATAAACTACCGCCTGATCTTGAATAAACGGAGAACGTTGCATTAATCATATTGATTGGATGTGCCTTTGTCTTGTCCAGTTTCCCGTTTTCCTGAGATTCCCTGGCTTTAAGTGGCGCCCTGACCGGGACTCAGGAGGCTCCGAAAAGGCTGCCAAATTACTTTTAGAGTAACGGGCAGTCGGGTTTGAGTCGCGCGACAGAAATTCAGGTCCAAATCGCCTCATGGTGACGGGACCGGGATCCCAAATTCACTTTTTGTGAACGGGGATCAAGTGGAACGGAGCAGAAGTCTCCAAACTCCGAATTGGGCCGTTCCCAACGGGAGGAAAAAGACTCTTCGCATTGTTGTTTGTTTGCGAGAGTCCGTGGAGCAGTGGGAAGACCTCGGCGTTCACAAGAGACCCGAACGGCGGGTGTGGACGTGGCCGAGGCCGGGAAGCTGGAGCGGAGTTGCTGCCTTGCCAAAGAAAAGCGAGAGCGGAGCAACCCGCGGAGATTGAGGTAAGCCGCGGAGACAGAGAGAGGGTGAAAAGTTCACCATGGATGGAGATTTACAGGCTTCAGTGCGGCTGCTCTTTCATATTCTCTCAAAGAGAGCTGAAAAAGTTAAAGAAGCCGATTTAGAGCAGTTGGTCCTGTGGGCAAGAAGCAAAGGCAAGCTGCAAAAACCTTCGCTGATTTTTAGTGAAACCGAATGGCAAGAGTTGGGGCAGCTGCTTTGGGATGCAGTGATAGAGGGCAGAAAGGACAAGAAAACACTATTAGAGCTTGGAGGTGTTTGGAAGAAAGTTTTACATACCTTACAGATCATGGCCGCGGAGAAAAAAGCAGCGGAAGCTGCAATTCAAGCATTCGAGCAGTCCACATCAGAACAGATAGAAGTTCGAAAGCCATCTCGGGTTGAAAAATTTTTTAATGTTTGTAATATGCGGCCAGTGCGGGGGCAGAAAGCTCCAGTCAGCCCCTCTGTCAGAGATGTTGTTGCTCGTTTGGAGGGAAACGCGGAGCCGGGCGGCGCGGGGCCGGCCGGCGCGAGACAAAGCAAAAATGCAGCCGCGCCCGGAGCGGAAGTGTGCTCGCAAGCGGCGGATGTTAACAGCTCAGCGGTCCCGCGAAGTGAAGCAGACCAGGAAATAGCCCTCCCGGGTCCCTCGGGAGGCGGGGAGACACCTGAGGAGGCAGGCGGAGTTGGTGACGAAACACGGCTGAGTCAGGAGGAGGAACTCAGGGGCGGAGATCAAGGCAGAGACCAGGGCGGAGACGGGAGCGAGGCGGCGCCGGCCCCTCGCCCCCCCGCTGTGGCAGCGGCGGCGGCTGCCGCGCGTGCGTGCAGACGCAGAGGAGCGGCTCGCCGATACCCGCCGGCGGCGGCGGCCGCGGCCAGCAGCCTGGCACGGCTTGGAGGGGCTGGGCACCCCAATGCTAGCGGAATGGCAGAAGTAGCCACCCAGACAACACCAGAGCAGAGCCCCGAAAATGCCAGTTCCCATTCCACCACGGTAGCGCTGCGCGGCCCACTCCCATTGAGTTCAGATTCTGACAACTCAGAGCCAGACTTTCCTGTTGTCAATTGCAGCAGGGACACGCGATCACAAAGCAAGATACAAAGGCAAGAAAAAGTTACAGAAAGCCTTTCCTCGTCCCTCGCGGAACGGGTTGGCAGAACTAAGGCAACGGACTGTAGCGGCATGTAGCGGGCTGCGGCGGCGGGCACCGGCCAGCCGCCTGGGCGGACCGCAGGAGCAGTGGCCGCGGGGCCGGCCGGAGCGGGGCCAGCCGGCACCGAGCCTGAGGCGGCCCCGGGGCGGAGCGGACATCGGCCAAGACACAGAAGGTTCCTTGTTGCCGAGCAACAGAGCAAGGGTGGAGACGGGCATTCCTGGGGGCTCGGCCGCGCTGGAGTCGGAGCAGGCGGGGCGCGGCCGCATCAGGGGCGTCTCCTGTCCCGTCCTCACAGTGACGCAGCACGGACGGAGCGAGACGGCGCCGCCCCCTCATCTCCCCGCAGCCCCAGCAATGGCGGCGGAGACGCTGCACAGCCTGGTTGCCATGGTAACAACAACGCCGAGAACAGCAGTGCCACCGATGGCGAGATGGCAACACTACAGCAAAAATTTCAACAGCATTTTTTCAATTCCTTGCCAGAGTCAGAAGACGTAATGAGAAAGTATAGCAGTACTGAGTGTTTTCCAAGAAACCAAGAGGAATGAACATTATGCAAATCAAAGTTATTTCAAATACAATGTGGATGAAAGATGAAAATGTTAATAATGATTTAATTGCCAAAAATGTCTTTGAAAACAAAGATTTGAGAAAAGTCAGTCAGATGGAATGTTGGCATTGAGTTCACAATTTCTGTTTTTGAGTTTTTATAGATAATAAGATAAATAATAATTGTCAAGTTTTTATAGGTAATGATAAGTAGTGATTGTTACTAATGTTATATGAATGCTTTGACAAGATTGTTTTAAACTATTTTAAACATTTCTTGTTGATAGGTTGATCATATAATGTAAGTTGTCTGATTTTTATGATAAGAATTATTATTAAGATGTTAAGATATTGAGGTGTTGTTTTAATATTTACAGTCAGTTTTCATATGTTTTATTGTCTTTCTAGGTGATTGATTGTAAGATGTACTTTTCAGGATCCTGTGTGTTTGATTTTTTAACTACTCATGTGTTTTCTTTATTCAATTTTCTATGCAGCTGCAGTTCATCTTCTTTTAAAAATTTATAGTCCAAGTTCTGGTTCAAGATTTCAAACTTCAAATTTTCAGATTTTTGAAGAAAAGGTTTGTTGTATTTAGAGAATTTTTGTCTTGAAGGAAATTTTAGACAGGTTCAATTATTTGATGTTTTGATAAATTGTTAATAATAAGGTTTTTAACTTATAACTGTTATTTTTAAGACTTTTGTTTTAAACATATCCTCCAATTAGAGTTCGAGCTCTGGCCAGGCTCTGGCTCTACGTGGATGGTGTGATTGACCCAGGTGTTTTCTGCATCAAAAAAGTATTCAAGTCCTTTTGGCTTGACAATTTGACCATACAGGACAGCTGAGCCTCAAAGGGAGTTTGGAGAGACATGATCCGGACATGTTTTATCCAAATCTCTGTTGTTTTAAGGTTTGTCAGCTGCTGCAGACTCTGGGATGACAATTTGATAGTGTAGCACTTGGTAACTGTGATTTTATATGTAATATTGATTGTGTATTATCTGATTGATTTTTATTTGTTGTTAGTTTCTTTACTATGTGCATTTTTTTGTTCTTAATGTTTTTTCATGTTTATAACAAAGATGTTGATATTTCCATTTCTTCATGCAAGTTTTAGGGAACAGAATTGAGAGAGGACCCTCCAGTCCCTGTGGGGGTGTTGGGTTTGTTTGTGTTTTAACAGGTGCAGAATCAAAATGGATTTCAGTGAAGAATGTGGAACTTATCAATTGCAAGAGGGCACTGATCTCTCCACAAGTGGATCAGAGGATGCACAGCAAAAGTGGATTGTGCAAAGATTTGTGTTTCACCCACAGAAGATCGTGGGCTTTGAGGTTTTTTTATAAGTGTGTTTTTAATGATGTTATAGAATTTTTTTTTTTTGCTAAGTTTTAATAAGTTTTAGTAATGCCTGTGATTTTTCTGTTCATCTTGCCATTGTCTTTCAATGGCAAAAGAAAAAGAGGGAGGTCCCAACGTGGATCAACAGAAATTCTACTTGAGTGAGTGTTTTTACCCGTCCAACCAAGACGTCTGGGCAGGACAGATGCTCTTGCTGCATTGATACGAAAAGGCAGAAGCAGAATTTTAAAAATAGATGAAAAAGATATCAACCCGCAGTGATAACAACGTGAACAACAACAGTTTGCCTGGAACATCCGTGATGAATCCTGTTCTGATGAAAATTAATTTTGTAGAGTACAGAAAAATAAGTTGAAATATTATAAGTGTGAAGTTAGATTTATCAGAAGTTAGTTAGAAGTTATAGTTTATGTTGAAAATTAAGATTGTTTCTTTCATGTTAAACAGGGCATTCAAAAACCTGAGAAATATGTGGTGGGCCTCAATGTTTTTATTAAGCAGTGTTTTGGTTGTTGAAGTATCTGGAATCCTTGACATTGACAAGAGAGAAAATATGTGGATCACTTGGGCCAAACAAACTAGGCAAGATTAATTCTGCCTGTTGTTCTAACCCCTTTTTATACTTGTTTAATTGGAGTCTCGTTGGGTCCCATTGCAGAGTTCAAAACTTGGACCCGAGCCTGGTCAGCAGTCCCTCAAAATGCTAGGGGAGGCCCATG